ATCTATCTATCTATCTATCTATCTATCTATCTATCTATCTATCTATCAACTGGATAGAAAATAGTCTATTAACTCTGTTTTACATCCAGTTTTCCTCTTTTTCCTCCTTAAAGATAAAATAATCCAACAAAACTGACATCTTTGCTGATATTTTCAGATTAAAATGGCCGTCTTAATTGAGCTGTGGGCTAGAGATGCTAATGCTAATGCTAAAGGGGGTGCTTTAAAATGAGCAGATATTAGGGAAATGGATTATTTTAATCTGTTTTTTTTTTAAAAACTGGATCTGGATCGATTTTCTCCTGCCGGCCGATACGCAGTTTTTTCCAAATATCGGCTGATCTGATTCAGATATCGGATCGGAAAAAGCCTATTTCAGATCTGGGTCTGGTTCTGCCTCTGACTGGTTTCTGACTGGTTTCTGACCGGTTTCTGACTGGTGTGTTTCAGATGCTGGGGACTCTCACTGCTGTGCCCATCAAGGTGCCTCAAGTCAGCTCCCTGCACCGGCTGGCAGGGCAAGCAGCCTCTGTGCTACCTCAGGTAAGGCCTCCCGCCCAACAAAGAATTCAAAAGCAGAAGAACAAGAAAAGAAAAAGACTGAAAATTACCGTATTTTCCGTACTATAAGGCGCCTAAAAGCCTTCAATTTTCTCAAAAACTGACTTATATATGGATCAGGATTGAGTCACAACAGGCCAAACTAGGGAAGATCCCAACTCCATTTTTTTCTGTAAAAGACGAAGTAGAAGAAGTAGCGTGGGGCTAAGAGGCGCCCCCTTCTGGGGATCTGTAGTACTGCACAATGTACAAATCAGTTAATCCCCATTTTATTTTTTTGTTTTTTTTATTCTTTCATTTTTTATTTATTTATTGTATTATATTACTTTTTTATTTTATTATTTATTTTTTTAATCTGATCCTAACTACGACAACAGGTAGTTGAAATATTTCTATACCGGTGGTTTTGATGTTTTTTTTAATGAGAAAAGCTGGTCAGTTTTATGCTAGCTGCTATATATTGTGATATGCTAACATCTAATTTACCGCAACGAATCAGACTGTTTCTGTTATTTACTGAATGGAGGAACAGTTTTCCTCCACTTCCTGATTAAGAATTCTCACATCCTCACATTTTATTGGACTTTATTTGTTTATTAAATTGTATTTTATTTATTCAATATTTATTTTTTATTTATTTAACGTTTAGTTTTGATACACAGGTGACATTTTATGTTTTGGCCTTTTGATTTGTAAGATAAAAAGCTAAAAATAATAATTAAGTCAAAAATAATAATTAAGATAATTAAAATAATTAAGTCAAAAATAAAAAAAATGAAATAGCAATTTATTTATGTATTTTTTTTGTGTTTAAATTAGTGTTTAATATTAGTGTTTAGAGCGTTAGTGTTTAGTGGCAGCTGATTAAGTCAAAAATAAAAAAAATGAGATAGCAATTTATTTATTTATGTATTTTTTTGTGTGTAAATTAGTGTTTAATATTAGAGCGTTAGTGTTTAGTGGCAGCTGTAGTTCAGAGTGTGTGGCTTCCCTCCAGGTCAGGCCAAAGACCCACATCCCCGACAGCCTCCCCCACGGCCCCCGCAGCCCCCGCCACGAGCTGCAGCCCCTCAGCCTGCAGAGGGCCACCGCCGTGGTCAGCCCCCGCAGCCAGGGGCCCCGGATCCACACCCAGGGCCCCCAGAACCAGAGCCAGAACCAGAACCAGGGCCCCAGGAACCAGGGTCTTCACAACCAGAACCAGGGCCCCAGGAGCCACACCCAGGGCCCCCAGAACCAGAACCAGAACCAGAGCCCCAGGAACCAGGGTCTCCACACCCAGAGCCAAGGCCCCCAGGGCCCCCGGGGCCCCACCCTGCCCACCGCCAACAGCACCCTAAGCCCCGCCCACCACGCCACGGCCACGGCGGGGGCGGGGCCCGGGGTGGCGTACGCCATCATCGCCGCCGGCAACGGGGTGTCCGCCGTCAGCGAGGCCGTCAAGGTGAGACCTCAGACACTAAAACAGAGACAAAAACAGAGACAACAAACAGAGAAAAGTGTGTTTATATATAAAAAGAACAGAGAAAAGTGTGTATATATATATATAAAAAGAACAGAGAAAAGTGTGTATATATATATATATATATATATAAAAAGAACAGAGAAAAGTGTGTATATATATATAAAAACAGAGAAAAGTGTGTATATATATATATATATATAAAAAAACAGAGAGAAATCTATTATAATAAAGAAAACTGCTCCGTTAGGCCAGTGGAAGCTGGAAAAAAGTACCAGATTAAATCAAAACACCAACTTCCCGACATAAAATCAGAGTTTATTTATATTAATTTAATTTTTATATATTTTTTTCTATTTATCTGATTTAAAAAAAAAATCTAACTTAATGTTACCTTAAAACTAACTTAGCTTATTTATTTTTATTTATTTTTGATATGTACTTTTCTATATTTTTCAGATTTTTTAAACATCTAACTTTCACTAACTGAACTTTAAATTAAAGTAACTAATGTTTTATTACATTTATATATTTTATATATATTTTTTCTATGACTTTGACGTATGTTGGAAATTTACTTTGGGTGTCCAGTGGAATATTTTAATCAATTTCACACACACACATACATATATATATATATATATATATATATATATAGGCAGTTTGATGGAAGAAAAGCAGAGTGTCTGGACTCCGGTTGGATCAGAGGCTCAGATGTTGGTGTTTCTATCAGTTTAACCAGAGCAGGAAGCCTCCGGCTGATGTTTTTCTGCTGTTTCCAGGTGATCATCATCCAGCCTCAGGCCCCCAGCAGCAGCGAGGGCTCGCCGGGGGTCCCAGCAGACCTCCCGACTCAGGAGGCCCCACCGGGCCCCAAATCCCCAAAGCAGAAGAAGGAGGAGGACCCAGAGGTGAGGCTGCTATCTATCTATCTATCTATCTATCTATCTATCTATCTATCT